TACAGTCCGAACAACGATGTGGAACCTTTTTTGAGTCACATAAATCCATTTACAAAAACTTTCACTGCTTTGGAGATAACACCCAAAATTCAATGGTTTCCGGATAAATTAAAGGATCTAAAGGGACAAAGATGGGGCGACTTTTATTTTAAAGCTACTAATGAAAATGGAGATATTAATCAAGAACGGTGGATGAACGAAAGAACTTTGCAAATTTTCTCCAAGGCGATGAATTCTAACCTTAGAAGAAAAACTCCAAAATTTTTAGAACCACAATTGCATTTACATTTGCAATCCACCTATTTACATTACGATTCTACTGATATTTTACGAATTCAAAAAATGGATAGTTTTAAAGCTGTAATTCCAAGAACGGAAAAGATGTCAAACGAAATTGTTTTCTCACCAGAACTTTTAAATATGATAATGATAACTATTTGCATGATTGTCATCATTCTACTTGCAGCTTTCTTCTTGAATTTTAATAAAACCACATGGTCGCCTTTAAACATGAGTCAAATTATAATTGGAATGCCCGCAAATCAAGAACCAAAGAAATGGTTAGAAAGAATTGTATTCGGTTCTTTATTGATTACATGTATTGTTTACACAGGTTATTTCTATTCGGTAATTTTGGACCTTAGTCTACAGCCGGTACCGGAAATTTCGACTTTGGAAGAATTAGTTGATTCGTCTTTAGGAGTGCAAATGGATGGGTCTACTTATATCCAAATAGTGGCATATATTCCTGCTCCATTGTTGAAGAAGCTGTCAGTTAAATCTAAAATTTTCGACTATGAGGGGGATTTTCTGGGGATACGCTGTTTAGAATACTTGGATCGTTATAAAAATATCAGCTGCATTCTTCCTGATGCTGAAAATCAAGTTAATGAGTATTTCTTATTAAAAGGAAAAGAGTTGAATGTTAAAATATTGCCAGAAAGTATTGCCTATCATTATTTCATCTGGTCAAATTTTCATAATCCGCCTTTTAGTGATTTTTACAGTAAAATAATTCAACGAGCCACAGAGTTTGGATTGTTTGATAAAGTCTATTCTATAAATAACGTGCTGCCTGGAAAAATTTCGCCTCCAGAAGAGATTAAAGAGGAAAAACTGTTTTTTCTAATCTCTTATGTGTTGGGTATTGGATACTGTTTTTCAATAGTCAGCTTTCTACTTGAATTGTTTACAAGAAATTTTAGTGACAGAGTGTATAACTTATATGCGAGATTCAAACAAGGAAATTAAACAGTTCTATAGGAAAGCAAAATATTAATGGATTTCTTTTAAGTCTTAAAATTTTTTTAAAATTCGTGTCAGAAAATACAATGTTTTTTCAATCATTATATGCATTTTTTAAAAAATTTCGACTTTAGTTTTATATATTATATAAAGGTTCAAACTTTGTCTTCAGTTTTGTGTTAAAATTCATTCACGACGATTAATGATATTTATATATATTTTAAAAACTTCCTAAATGAAATTGTAATGCGTATTAAAATAAAGCGTAGAGTCTGATGTTTACTTTTATTATTTATAAAAAGGAGGAAAATATGGCTTTGATAAACAATCAAATATTGGCTCGAGTTAAATGTGAAAAATCAATTTCAGCTCCGAACCCTTGTTAAATTTTATTAAATCATTGAGTATGCAAGAAAAATTTAATAAAATACTTCGATGATAATGTAAAATTGCAGTTTAATATTTGTATATTTAAAAAAAAAAATTGTGCTCGAATTTGATTAAATATTGAATAAAAATTTATGTTTCATCTCTAAAGTATTTTCCTTGAATATACGAGTTTTTTTTTGTTCTAAATATTTACATTGTATTGAAAACAAAGGTTCATTTTATTCATTCATTTCATATTTTTTATTGTAAAGTGATATGATAAAATTTCAAAAAATACAAAATTTCAATTTTTTGTGAAAAATAAAAATCTCGATTAATTTTATAAATATTGATAAAATATATACTTTATATACATGAATCCAATCGATTTTTCTATTTCTTGCATTTAAATTTAGGTCGAAATACAAAAAAATTTTATTTTAGATAAAACTTTAGAAAACCTTATAATTAAGGTTAAAACCTAAACAAGAAGGCAAATTTAGATCGCAATGGAAATAATATTTGAAACTTTATTGCTTAAGGAAAGAAAATTATAAACTTAGGTCAAAATGTAATTAAACTATACATACTACATAGGCCAAAATTTATAATAATTTATTTAATTTATTGACATTGATTTTTTTTCACTACAACTGTCAAGTCGAAACATTTCAATAATATTAAATTTATTTAATTTTTTTTAATAATAATAAGAAATTAAAGTTAAAACGTAAAAAATTGTAGGTTTAGGTCAGAATGTAAAAACAGGTCAGAATTTAAATATAATGATAAAATTAAGGTCAAAAAAAAGATGAAAAATTCAGGTCAAAATTTACATGAAAATTGCAAATATTCATCAGCATTTAAATATTAATAAAAAATGTAGGTCAATAAGTAAAGAAAATTAGAAACTTAGGTCAAAACATAATTAAACACTATATATAGGTTAAAATTGAAATAATAATAACAAATATAAGTCAAAAAGTAAGAAAATTGTGGGTTCAGGTCAAAATGTAATTAATTGTTAAAAATTTCGGACAAAATATAATTAAAAAATAATAATTTAGGTCAAAACGTTAATGAAAATAAAAAAATTTTGTTCGAAACGTAAGAAAATTATAAATTTTGGTATAATAACAAATAATACTAATAAAAATAATAAAACTATAGAAAAATAATAACAAAAATAAATAAAACACGGATTCAGAAGGAAAAAAAAAATTCTCGAAAATATGTTTAGATATTTGAAAAGTGTCTTGTTAAAAAAAAGAATGAGAGACATTTAGCACGAGTTTCCCGTCCACAATTATTTTCGTCAATTTTCATCCGCACCCTCAACGCGGTATAGTACTAAGAGGGGAACGAGTCTGGCTTTTATTTTTATTTTTCGACGGTTAATTTTCATGATACTTCTTAATTATAATGAGACACACTTTAGGGTGGCAGAAAAGAGTATGGGATTTATGTAAATCAGTAGCTAATGTCTTGTGACATTATAGGTATATAGTATACTTTGCGGGGGATAATTTTCTGACAATGAAATACAACTCAACGAGAAATTGAAAATTCAACAAATAATATGAAATTACAATTTATTATTATAAATATTCATAAATTAATTATTATTTAAATTCTGACATAACTTTTCTTAATTATTATTTATATTCTGATCTAAATTTGTCGGTTTTATTTACGTTTCTAACATAAATTGTCAATTTTCATTAACATTTTGACCTAAATTTAAATTTTTCTTTCGTTTTGACCTAAATTTTCAATTTCTATTTACGTTTTGACCTAATTTTTTAGTTTAAAGTTAGATTATGATATAAATTTTTTAATATTCAATTACGATTTGACCTAAATTGTGAATTTTTATTCAAAATTGGACCTTAATAAAAAATTTTCTTCTGATTTGACTTAAATTTTTAATTTATATTTACGCTTTGACAAAAAATCTTTAATTATTACTTAGATTCAGACCTAGTTTTTAATTATTATTTACCCATTGACCCAAATATATATTTTTGTATGTTTTGACCTAAATTTTTATTTATTATTTATGTTCTAACTTAAATTCTGAAATTTTTATTTACGTTTCAACCTAAATTTATAATTTTCTTTCGATTTGAATTCAATTTTTCTATTTTATTTCTATTCTGACCTAAATTTTTAATATTCCTTTGCGTATTGACCTAAATTTGTCAGTTTTATTTACGATGTTGATCTAAATTGTCAATTTTCATTCACATTTTGACCTAAATTAATTTTTTTCTTTCATTTTGACCTAAACTTTTATTTCCTATTTACTTTTTGACCTAAATTGTCAATTTTCATTCAAATTTGGACCTAAATTAAAAATTTTCTTTCGATTGGACTAAAATTTTTAATTTAAATTTACGCTTTAACCTAAATTTTTAATTATTTATTTACCTTTTGACCCAAATTTATATTTTTATATGATTTGACCTAAATTTGGATTTATTATTTACATTCTGACTTAAATTTTGAAATTTTTATTTACTTTTCAACCTAAATTTATAATTTTTTTCGGTTTTGCCCTAAGTTGAAAGATTTTATATTCTTAAAAAAATTTGTTGCTGTTTCAGTTGAATGTTTCTTTTACGTGTAATTTAATTAATTCTTAAATAATTAAATAATTTTATTAATAAAGAAAACTTTTTAAATTATTTTTTTTAAAAATACTAAATTAATAATTAATACGAATAAATATAATCTAAAAAAAGCAATTTTAAATATAATAATTAAAAACTACTTTTGCGCCTGTGGTAAAAAAAATTTCCAAAGAATAAAATATAAGAAAATTATTCGGTTATTTGAAGACACAATTTATGCATCATGTTTTATCCGTTTTAGGAAGTAGCGGGTGGGGGCGAAGGGGGGGGGGGGTTTCTATGTGTGGGAGAAAGGGAAGCTAACGATCTCAAGGGGAAATTCATCATTTGCATAATGATCCTTGAATTCGTTGGGAAATTAATTGTCGATTCTATCGAAGAGCTTTTTCGACAGGGGAACTCGTTAAATTAAGTTAAGTGAATATTTTTAAAAGAACAGACAATCGCAAATAAAAATTAGCAAAATAAAACACGATAATACGAATTGCTACATATAAATATAAATTTCAAAAAATATTGTCACAATTATTGTAAATTTAATATTTTATTTTGAAAAAAAGAAATTCATTAATTAAAAGTTAATTCAATTGTTAATTAACTAAACTTTTGATTAATTAAAAATTTAATTATCGAAAGTATCAATTAATTCGATTTTTAATTAACTAAGGCATTAATTGTTTTAATTTTTAATTAACTAAAAATTTTAATAAACATAATAATAATAATAAATAATTAAAATTCAGAATTACTCACCGGGATCAGTGACGTAGGCGGTTCCCTCTTTTCGAATCGAAATTGTACAGTCGACGTTGTAAAATTCCGATAATTTCGCCCATTCCTCAGCCGAGACAATGCCATATCTGCAAAAAAGAAATAAATAAAAAAAATTTGTAATAATAATAAAAATAATAATAAAATAATCAATATTTTTAATAATAATAACAAAAATAATAAAAAACTTTTTACTAACAATAGAAAAAATAAGAAAAATATTAGTAAAATAATAAGAATGATAAGCGAATTATTTCATTGTTTTCTCTTTCAAAAATTAATTTTTTTTATTTTCTTTTTTTTCAAAATTTAATTTAACAGTATAAACTGAAAATTTTCGAAATGTCAGCGAAATTTCCAGGAGAACAAACTATTTATGGGAATATCAAAAGGATGAGCTTTTCGAGGAATTTGCGATTTCCTTCGCTTCTACCTCCCCCCCCCCTCCAACCCCCACCCTCTTGCCGCCGCCGCATCAGAAAGCGGGATAAGCTTTTTGTCACGGTTCCCTTAATTATACCGCAAATTAGAAATTTCTTGTGACTCGTTGCCTTCCCCTAGTTTCACCCCTCATTTACCCCCCTCCTCCCCTCTCCACCCACCAACAACCCTTTCCCTTATCTCCCCCCCACTATCTCACCTATATGCGACTCTCAACCACTCACGTGCACGTATGTTTTTTGCAATAATGTATGTACCCCCTCCCATTTCTCTCTTTACTAATCTTACCCCCTCTCCTTAAAAATATTCCCACTCTAAATTATTCTTATAAAAAAAGAATTTTTTTTAACAAAAATAATTTTTTGAAATTTATATCATTATAAAAGAATAAAAATTAAAATAATATCAATTAATAATAATAATAATAATAATAATAATTATTATTATTATTATTATTATTATAAAGAAAAATAATTAGAAATTTAAATAGAAAATAAAAAGTAGGAGGAGAGATTTAAAATCGTTAATATTTTTTAAAAAATTTAAAATTCTGTTAGGTTTCAATATATAGTAATTAACAACATTATAATAATAATATTAAGTTAATAATTTAAAAAATAAAAAAAGTAAATATTATAAAAATAGTAGTAAGTACCCAATACTAATAAATAATATGTCTAAAAATTGTAATAATAATAAAGAATATTTAGAATAAGAGAAATAACAAAAAATAGTAAATTTGTAAACAGAACAAAAAAATAAAAATGTCCCAAAAAAAATTTTGTCTGTTTGAAAAAAAACAAAATAAATTTACCTTATTGAATATAAAAATCTCTTTTTAACGATAATTAGTCACGAGACATTAATTTCGATTTAACACAATATGCTGCACGGCCTAATTTGAATTTTCCTGTTCCAAATTCACTTTGTCCAACCCCCCCCACCCCTGCCCACCTCTTCTGTCATCACCCTCAGTCTTCTCCCCACCTCCCCGCTTCTCTACCAACAAGCCTATAACCGCATCAATAAGAGCAAAAAGTTGACGGATATCAACCGTGTTGTATATTTCAATCTGTATTTGCCTAACGAACGAATAATAGTTGCACGTCGATAATGACAAAACAAGTTCGATAGACGTCATTTCTAAATTATTAGTTATTATATTTTTTCGTTAGGATGTTAATTTTCAATGTTATTTTATTTTGAATTCAATTTTATTTTCAATTTAATTTGATTTTTAATTCAATTTGATATTTAATTTAATTTCCAATTCAATTTTATATTTAATTAATTTCCAATTCAATTTGATTTAATTTTGAATTTAATATGAATTTGAATTTAATTTAATTAATTTCATTTCTTTTTTAGGTTAAGCTTTTTAGTGCAAAATAATAAAAATAATATAATAATTAATAATACAATATTAATAACATTTTTTAGAATTTAGATTAAATTAAAAATAAATTTAGAAGAAAATGAATTATGCACTGAATTTTTTAGGTTAGGTTCTTTAGAAAACAAGAAATAAATTCTACAAAGTGCAGAAACGATCGTAATTATTATTTACTATTATATTTAAATCTTCTTTTCAAATGGTAAATGTAAATTAATGTTTGTTTAATTTGTCTTTTCAGATTTTCAAAGAACAACTTTTTTATTCTTCGCCATTAATACTATTTATATAGTTACTATTATTTACATTATTTTACCAAATCATGAAGGCTGGTGTTAGCTTTTGTTTTATTTGTCTTTTGAGGTTTTCTAACAAAACTTTTTTTACAATCTTCTCTTTATTGTTGTTTCGACTACGATAAATTTCCACTGCAAACAGAAACTGAGGTTAGGATTATTACTGTCAAAGGAGAAGCATAACTACCAACCGTATGAAACAAAAAAAATGAATTATGCCGCTAAATTCAAATACTTTTTCAAAAACAAATTCTGTAACACAAATAATATTTTTATTGTTATACTAGTATTTTTTATTTCTATTATTTTTATGATAAAAAAAATTAACTACTCAAAAAAGTAGTTAATTATTTTTCAAGTAAATAAAAAAATGAAAAATTTCCCTCCGATCTTTGGGGTAAATTAACCAAATTAGTGAAAACAAAATAAATCTAATTTCTCAATAAGGAAAATTTGATTAAATGCTGTTAACGACTGATCGAAGAAGAATTCAAGAGGAAAAAAAAGTGAAACAGAGATCGAATAGAAAAAAAATGATTTTTTAACGGTGTCCCGTTAGAGAAGAGGGTGACTTAAGCTGAGCCGTCGCTATCTTAGGCAGATAGTGGACAATAGCTTAGCATAATGGTCAGAGGGTTAGATGGCAACTTAGATGGCCCCGGGGTGTGTCGGTGACATTTTCGCGTATCCATCACGTGGCCAAGAGGGTGTCTTCTCGACTCCAATGGATGGAGGAGGGTGACTGGGAGGATACAGAGCCAAGAGATCAGTGAGACGTGCCCCGGAGGTCACGCACTTTCACTTTATAATTCACTCTCGGCCAGAAATCTTGTCCGGACAGGGAAATTTATAACAAAAACAAAGAAAAAAACCAGGAAAAAGAGAAAACAAAATGGAAGAAAGGGAGGGAGGGAGGGAGAAGAAAATTTACCACAAGAAAAAAGTATAAATGGAAACAAAATAAAATTCAGAACTGCAAAACTTAAAACTGCAAGATTCAAAAAAAAGTCGAATTAAAATTAAAAATTGCAAAATTTAGAACGACAAGATTCAAAATAAAATCCTGAACTGCAAAATTCAAAACTACAAGATTCAGAATTGCAAAAATCATTAAAAAATCCAGAAAATCAATTAACACTCGAAAGGAAAAAATTATTTTGTTAAACTATCGACTTCGAAATGTGGAGAAATAAAGTAGTGTTCACTCAGAAGAAAGTGGTGAAAAGGAAAAGTGTTTCTTTGAAAACCTCAAAAGACAAAAATAAAACAGTTTCTTTGAAAACCTCACAAGACAAAACAAAATAGTTTCTTTAAAAACCTCAAAAGACAAAATAAATTTTTTTTAAAACTTCAAAAGACCAATCAAAATAGTTTCTTTGAAAACCTCAAAAGACAAAATAAAACAGTTTCTTTGAAAACCTCAAAAAACAAAATAAAACAGTTTCTTTGAAAACCTCAAAAGACAAAATAAAGAAGTTTCTTTGAAAACTTCAAAAGACAAAATAAAGAAGTTTCTTTGAAAACCTCAAAAGACAAAATAAAACACTTTCTTTGAAAACCTCAAAAGACAAAAATAAAATGGAGCTCCAACCTTTTCCTTATCAAGGAAAAATAGGTCAAAAGTAGGAAATAAAAAGAAAGTAAAAAAGAAAATAAACAAATAAATTACCCATCATTCGTTGCTGGTGGAGGCGTGTACAAAAATCCTTGATGCTTCTCGCAGACCAAGACCGAATTCTTGATTCCCACTGGAGGTGATTTTTTGCACGTTTCAGCGAATCTGTAACAAAAAAAATTATTTTCTTATATTTATTTTTTGATATTTCATTTTTTTATGCACTGAACCATTCGCTGGCGAATAATAGCATAGAAAAGAATTTTTTTTATATTATTTTGAACAAGAATTTTTTTCCTATTAAATAAATTTAAAAGAAAAATAAATTAATAAATTAAAAAATAAAAGGGTAAAGGAATTGAGAAATGTGTTTGTTATGTTCTGTAAACTGGGAAAAATTTTTTTAAACTAATCCTTCAAAGCATTATCTTCAATAAATATCAGAGAATAATAAATCAAAGTGCCATTACCATGAACATCATTTTTTATTCCTGGCGAAACGTATTTCTAAAATCGAAATTATCTTGAGCATAAATATGTGATGCAAAGTAGAATTTTATTTTAACGTTTACGTAAAATTCCTGTATAAAATTTTTTTACTATTTAATTTTTTCTAAGTACTTTTCTTTATTGACAATTTTTCTACTTTATTTCTTTTAAAATTTACTTTTTTATTTTATTCTCAACTTAATTTTTCCAACTACGTTTCTTTCTTTACTATTTTTTCCTACTTTATTTATTTTCATTTTTGCTTTTCCATTCATTTTTCTATTTACTTTTCGTAATTACTTTTATATTTACTTTTCTCTCTTACTAACATTTTAAAAATATATATTATTCATTTTTTTATTTACTATTTTTTTATTTGCTTCTTCAAAAATTCAACTTTTAAAAAAAATTCTAAACAATTTAATCCAAAATTTGTTACCACTTTAAATTAACTTTAAAGTGCAAAGTTACCTACTTTTCTAAAACAAACAAAAAAATCCATTCGTGATAAAGTTTCAGAACAGTAAATAAAACCCCCAAAAAAATTTACCCACCAATAAAAAAGTTTCTGTAAATAAATATTTTTCCTTGTCCTAAAAACGATAGCATTCGAAAATTTTTGATTTTGACAGTTTGAGACTATAATCAACTTCTTTTTTTTATAAAGTTGTCAAGCGCTTAATCGTTTCGAATAATGTAAGCTCTTGCGTGACATCGTCGACTGTGAGAAGGAAAAAGAGGATGAGAATGAGAAGCTGGAGGAGGATGAAGCGCAGACGAAGACTTCCTGCGGGACTTTTGGGAAAGCTTGAGGGGGATTGGGGCTGTGCATCATTTTTCACATAGCGCTGGGGGCGGACGCGTCTTTTTTTCGATTTTTTTTTCTCTTGCTTTCTTCTTTTGCCCCATCCCCCCAAACCAACAAGCATTCAGATAATGTCCTTAAAGAAGGATATCCCTTGCGACCCTGAATCAGGTAAAGTGGCCATGCGACTCGATATCCAAAATATCAGCTTCAAAATTATCGATTTCGGAAAAATCAATGAACACTCGAGAGCAAAACTTTTTTTTCAAACTATCGACTTCGAAATGTGGGGGAAAAAATTAGTGTTTACTGTGAAGAAAGTGGTGAGAAGGAAAAGTTATTCTTTGAAAACCTCAAAAGACAAAATAAAAAAGTTTCTTTGAAAACCTCAAAAGACAGAATAAAAAAGTTTCTTTGAAAACCTCAAAAGACAGAATAAAAAAGTTTCTTTGAAAACCTCAAAAGACAAAAAAATTGTATTCTAAGTTTGCTACTAGTTTTTATTTTTATTTAATTTAGGTGTTTTATTTTAATTTAACTTTTGAATCTGATTTCATTTTTAGTTTTTTATTTCAATTTAATTTCAAGACTTATAGTTATTTTACTTTCGAGTTTAGTTTTCAATTGTCATCTTATTATAAGTTTTCTATTTTAATTTTACTTAAAGTTCTTTGTTTTAATTTTGATTTTAGATTTTAAACCTAATTTTAATTTCTATTTTTCATTAAAATTTTACTTTAAGTTTTAATTTCTAAACCTAGCTAAATTTTTATATATTGATTTTAATTTTATTAAAATTTTTCTATTGTACTTCTAATTTTACTTTTAAATTCTGATTTTATTAAAAAACTAAATTTTCCACAACTTTTTAAATATCTCCTCTAAAAGAGAAAATTAAAAAAAACGAAAAATACACAGTTGGCAATAAAAAAGAAGAAATTAAAAATTGGAGACGAGTTTCTCATAATCATAGTCGAGTAAATATTCTCGTGTACGTTAAAACTGTTTATCCCCCTACCTTCATATTTCTTTTTTACAATCCCTTTTTGGTTTTAAAACTAGAGAGACGGAAATATACGTATTAATTATGCGCCTTGTTTAAATATAGAAACAAAGAGAAAATTTGTCCCACCTCCTCCTCCTTTTCTCCTTCCACCAGCTTATTATGAACGAAATGTGAGAGATTTTTTTACCATTGGTTTTCCCTTGGACACATATATATAGTTATATTTTCATTCCGAAAAAAAACAAGAAGGAAAAAAATCATGTCCCAAGCCTTTGTTTAACTTTTATCGTGAAATTTTTCCCAACCCTGTAAACGGTTATTAGTCCCTGGAGATGATCGCGCGAATGGTGAATGTTTAAAAACTTGTCCCGCATCACAATTTTCAATGGCAAACAGAAAGTTTTTGAATATTGTGCATTTCATAAAAAAACCGAGAGAAAGCATTTAAAACTTTTCATATTTTCTCGCAAGATCAATAATTCGTATTTTTTCGTGTTTCTATTTTAACTTTTTCCCTATTTTTTTCCTTCTGTTCCTTTTTCTGAATTTTTAATAATTCCCTAAATTTTATTTTTACACCTTTTTTAAAAAATTAGATTCAAAATTTATTTTATAAACCCTTAAATTTGAATTTCAAAATTTCATCATCAACCGTCTGGTTTATTTTCAAATTATAAAGAATCGATTTACTTTATTTAAGAAAACAAAAATGAAAATTGAAAACCATAAATAAAAATGAAATAGAAATTAAAAACGAAATCGTTTTTGTTTTTTTAAGGATTTCAAAGAAGCACTTTTCCTTCTAACCTAGTTTTATTTTGTCTTTTGAGGTTTTCAAAGAAACTTTTTATTCTGTCTTTTGAGGTTTTCAAAGAAACTTTTTTATTTTGTCTTTTGAGGTTTTCAAAGAATAACATTTTCTTCCAAGCACTTTATTATAAATTTAACAATATATGAAAGTGTAAAAAATAAATTTAAATATTTTTAAAACGAGAGTACGAAATAACTCCTTTTTCATATTTAAAATTAAGGAAGTAAAGAGCATCTCTCATTAGCTCCCAACTTCAGGACGAAAAGCGGTACCCGATTATTCGCGGTTATCGAACAATAACCCGGACCGGTACACTTGTAAGTTTGGTCCAGCTCAGCCTCCCGACCAATTAACATCCGCTCCGGAAAGTTTTAGAGAAGATCGAATATTAACTTTTATCTCTCTCGCTCTCTCCCTTTCCCCTCTCTCCCTTTTTCTCAATTTCCAACTTCCATGGGCAAACTATTTAAAAGCAAAAGCCAATTTGTGATGAGAGGACCTCGATACTAAAGAGCAGAGTCATTCTCAGTCATTGTGGTTTCTGGAGTCTTATTACACTGCCCGTGAGCTGGGACACAATAATATCCTGTTCTATGCACGAACGAATCTGGTGACAGTCGCCCACTAACGCAATAACTAAACCAAGCGCGACGGGTCGCGAGCCTCAACAACCCTTAACGGACAAAAAAATGTGTATATCAATTTTCTCTTGCGGACCTTCGGGGTCAATGGAACGTAGAGGAATTCTATCGCTTGTTAAAAATTTTCAGATTTCCATATAATAATAATTTCTCAAAACAAAATACCACTTTGAAAATTCATTGACGTATGTTGGCTACTAGTTTCCACTCTTCGCCTAGTTAATTTTTTTTATAAAAAAAAATATCTGGAAAGAGGAGCACCATCATCTTTGTGGATATATTAAGGGAAGCACCAGAAGGAAAAGGGTTTATATATATAGTTGGTCATAGCAGAAGCACCGGAGCGTTGCCACAGTCATTACGTCGAGCCTACGTGTTCATGGTGTAGGGAGAGTCGTTAAAAAACGAATTCGAAAACCTTAAGAGAAAACGGAGTGAGAGAGAGAAAGAGATGAACTAAAAGAAGAAGTAGAAGAGGAGACGGTGCGCGCCATTAAGGGAACGATGAATACGCAAGAAGGATGAAATGATTTTTAAACCACAGGGAGCGACAGAGATGTGGATGAAAGAAGAAAAAAAAAGAATGAAGATTCTCCTCGCAGCTACCGCCGGGACATCCAGGAAACAAGAGCAAAAGAAAACTAAGAACGACGATGATGATGAGGAGGAGTAACTTAGTGAACCCTGAGAGAGAAAGAAAGCTGATCCGATTCCAGGAATTGCTCGACTTTTGCGGCATCTCATTTGGCTCCCGGAATCCTCCCGACAAGATAGATGAGTCCATCAGATGAAGGATTTAATTTTACAAAATTGTTCCTCCTCCTGATGGTCATTTAAAAACTCACTCTTTTATTCTTTCTATCTTTCTTTCTATTTTTTCCTACATGCTTTCTTTCCTCTTTTTCTTTTTTTCCTGCTTTCTATCTTCTCTTTTTTCTGCTTTTAATCTTCTATTCCTTCTTCTTCTTCTTCTGCTTTCGATCCTCTTTTCATTATTTCCCTACTTTCTATCCTCTTTTTCTTTCTTTCCTAATTTTTATCATTTTTTCCTTCTAACCTTTTGCCTTTCTCATTTTTTAATTCTATTTTTCGTTTCTTCCTGGCAAATGCGAGTACTCCTAATTTCAAGCAGTTCTGCAGAGGCAATATTTCGCAAAATAGAAAATGAATTACTATACAGCACAATATTCAAGAGATGATGTTTAAATAAAACTACAGTACCGTCCGAAATTGTCAGTCCACCCATTTTCAAAGGAATGACAAAAATTTTTTAACATAAAATTCATGAAAAGTAAAATTTTTTTTGGTTTATATTTTGAAAGACGATAAAATTTTGAAAAGAATAAGACCTTACAGAAGTCATTTGGCCAAAATTTGTAGAAGATATTCTTAAAAATCGTCATTTTCAATGTT